ATATATATAATAAAGATTAATTTTAAATATAATTCATCATCCGCAACAATAATTTTTTTTTAAGAATTTATTTAGTATTCATCAATTATCAATAATTAAAATTGATAATTGATCATAGGCGTATGCAGTAAATTACCCAAACAATATTTTTATGTCTTGAAGACGTACAAAAGATGTTTGAAAATTCCCAAATTATATTTTAAAACGTCTTAAAATTATCAGAAAGACGTCTTTTAAATGTCCTATATTTAGACGTCTTAAATCATAACGTCTTTTAGACACTTTTTAGGACATTGCGCTCTCTTTTAGACGTCTTAAAGACATTCGTTCTACCGTAGTGACATTTAGATGTCTTTATAATTACAATATAAAAGTATAGATTTAAAAAAATTTGTAGTTAATATGTATAATTATAGATTTTTAATAATGGCAGTGTATATTAGAACACGGCTACTATTTATTTAAATTTAAGTATTTGTACAATCTTTTTAAAGTAAATGAGAGCAATAAATTACAATATCTTGTACAATCTTTTTATTTTTTTACAATATGAATCCGTCCAATAGATGATTTACCTATAACATTTAATGGAGTTTGCTTCTGATTATAATCAAGACTAGATAATCGAGAATAAATTTGATTAGGTGATTGCGGCGCTTTTGTGGTAAATGATTTTGTATCTTGTGTAGATGATTAGGGAAGAGGTTTTTATATGATCAAGTAACAGAAAGGTTTACATGCTGCCCAATAATTGTTACAACGTCCATCACGCATAGCTTTATTACTACAACCATTTGTTGTTACAGTGATAATTATCACTGTAACTTGTACTTATATAATGATTCGTTATACATTTTTAAATTATTCAGCACGGCCACCGACGAGATACTATTAAAGTCCTCGGCGCTTATGGAATTCGCGCGCGTTAAAATTTAAGTGATTAAAAGTAATGAACTAGTAATACGGTACTAATTTCATAATTTATTAATTTTGTAGACATGTACATATATGTTTAAAACTTAATAATACTCGATTATTTAAAATTGTGATTTTAATGATATCATCCAAGTTTAATTATCAATAGAGATGATAACTGCAGAGAAAAAATTGTAATTTTTCGGCAATATATAAGATATTATATCATTGAAAGTATGCATACTTATTTATACAGCTTTTATATAATAAAAAATAACAAATTTAATAACATATCATCGAAATATTTATGTTAATAATCATAAATTTTTATTAATTGTCGATAAAAAATGTCATTGTTCTTCAATTATCCTCAGGCCTCCCAGACTCCATTGATAGTCATGAAAATTTGACCAGGGCCGAGGATTTTTAATAGTATCTCATCGATGGCACGGTCTAAAAGGTAATGAATTTTTTAATTTTTCTTAATCATGACTACTTAAGTCAATGATTTAAGTCAATGACTTATAAGTCTATTACCAAAAATCCAAGTCACTGACTGACTTTCTTTAAGGAGAAAATCGGCAGCTGGTAACCTGTTGTAAAATCAATGTAATTACTTGTAATCATGATTAAGGGAAATTAAAAAATTCGTTATTTTTTAGGCTGTGTTGAATAATTTGAAAATATATAACGATTAAATCAATACAAGTTTCAATAACCTCAATATAAAAATTCATTAGATTTTCATCCATTGAAGGTTTTAAGACTGAAGCTCTACTTTCTACTTGAAATATAGAATTATAACTATTTATAAGTATAGTTATAGTTATAATATAGTAATTATGTCTTAAATATTATTTAAGTATGCTACGATTCTTACACAATGTTACGAGATATTATTTTCAAGCGTTTTGAAGATTTTTTACGAAAATAAAAAGTTACATTCCGTATATCCACCACAATCAATACAATATGTTAGAAGACTCCTTCAATACGGATCTAAAACGAGTAATTTCGGATTTCCTAGGATAATAAATAGAGCCCAAGCTAATTGCGACATTGAGTCTAGTAGGCGGAACATCAATAAAGTCTAGAGACCGTTCGACGTCTTCATCAACTAAATTGTTATTAATTGTACGATCTAACAGCCGAAATAATAATTTTTTTTCTTTCTTGACCTTGAAATCCTTCCACAGTGCTGATTTTTGGTAACTTAAGATTTAGCTCCAACAGATCTGGAGCACCGAGTGGCTCGCCGCTCAGTGCGATTGACTCGTAATCTGTGGATTCGATCCTACCTGCGCCTCGCATACGCGATTTTTCGCGTTCGCCGTTCGGATTCGGCGTTAAACTGCAGGTCCCTCTCGAATTGACACAAACTCTAAGGAGTAAGAATGCAAATTTCTACCAAATGCAAGAAAACATAAGCGAGCGAGCCTCTGCTCCCCGAAGAGGCTGCTAAAAAGTTAAAAATTGATACACATGGTACTGTACCCTCAAATGGGGTTGGAAAACCTAATTTAGAGAATATACCAAAAGACTAATTAAACAGCAGATCTCGAATTTCCATCACCTTGATAAAAAGGGTTTTCATAGAAAAGGAAGAAAGAAATTTGGCTATAACAAATAACAGAATTTTACTTAAAATATTTATGTATATTTGTTTATAATAAAGATTAAGGAGTTATAATTCCTAAAAAAAAATATATTATTCGGTTTAAGCCCACATTTATATAACTTCAACAAATAGAGATATATTTATACAGCTTCTTCGGGATTGTACCAGCTTGGACTTTCGGAATCTTGGTAGTCTCATCCCTGATCCCATGAAAGAATGTGACTAGTGATGATCCCTCTCTCTCGGGCAGCTCTGCTCTCATCATTTATTATAGTAATTCATTATTTATTATAGTAAAGTTACATATGTCTTTAAAAAAATGAATGTATACATACATAGATAAAAAGTCCAAAGGCGGTATTTGTAGTTCTTGTTTCAATAGTGTCTTAAGACGCTAATGTGGTCCTCTGATTGATTCGTGACTTCTTAAGACTGTATTTAAGACGGTCTTGAATATAAGATCTAAATATGAATATCGGCCCAAAAAAGTTGAATTGTTCGTTGATGCCTACATTAATACTATTGTCAATCGACTGACTGTAATGATATATTTTGCTGTCTGCATTAATAGTATCGTTAATCCACTGTCTGTAATAGTACACTTTGGTGAACACATCTGGTAAGGTACTAACGACACACGGCCATTTACCAAAGGACAACATATTACCAAGGATGCCAACGAGGTTGCCTTTGTAAGTAAGCGGACGACCAAACTTTTCCTGCCAAAACATGATATTTAGTGCAATATTTGTTAGCATTTTTTATTGATGGAGCGATCCTCTTATAAGCGGCGTCTACAATGAAATTTTAAGGCATAAAATCAGACCAATCATATAGTCGATTGTTCTCACCGTTCCATTGTGATTGATTAGTTTCCTTTGCTTACGGTTTAAAATTTAAAACCCATTCTACAAGTACGTAGTTGTAAGTAGTTATAATTGTAAGAATTGATTAATTACGAGTTTGAGAAGAATATTTAACAGTGATTGGTCAATTTTTACTACAATGGCTTATAATGTACGCAATTGTAGAATGGACTTTATACATACATATATATACACATATACAGACGCGCGCGCGCGTCTTAAAATCTCATTCAGACGTCGCTTTAGATATTAGTGTATGATAATAGTATATGATATTAGTGTATAATTAGTGTAAGCAGTTGTTGCGTGATATGATTAATTTTGACAAATTCTCTAAACGACTGATTCGTCATTCCCTAATATGAATCATTATAATACAACATAGTAAAGTAAATCATTATAATATAATACAACATAGTAAGTAAAACACCAATGGTTACTTTTTTTTGCTAAATTTTTTAAATAATTTATAGCATAATGAAGATAACGGGATAAACGTGTATACGATTTATTTTATGATTATATAATACATATACTTACATCGCATGTATCTTGACTCATTTGAATGGTACATATATGTTTATTGGTAATATTTAGATACGTATTGCCGCACGATGTTTGAGAAAATCCTGTTACATTAATTTTTTGAAGGTGTTCTAGATTGAAACTCTAAAAAAATATTTTTAACTTAATGTCTGATATATTCAATTTTTAAAATAGAAATAAATTCTTATGTGTTGCGTGCGTGCGTGTGTGCGTGTAGGCTTATTTGCTTTATTGCTGTACTGAACTACTGACTACACTAAAACTTCTTACTTTTGTTCAATTTTAAATACATATATGTATTATAATTTAATAAGTACAACAACTGTACTAATTTAGTCACAAGAACTTTTATGCTGGTACGATTTTCTTCTGGTACGGTTTTAAACGATTTTAAAGCAGATATAAGATATATTTCTTATTTTTACCCAAAACTTTCTCCAGTGAGCAGTTATAAAGACATGACCTTCGAAATTTTCGTCGTAAGATATTAAATCTATCGATTTGATATATTTATTAAAGCCGATCTCTTTCGTTAAATTAATTAAACCAATATCATTTATATTTTGTGTCTTATTGTAATGAGGGTGTATTATTAAGCTGTATGCTATATATCTATTTTCAGGAATATAAAGCTCATTGTTTCCAACGTCGACCACAATATCGGCTGAATCATGACTGTAATAAAATCAGTAAAAATTATGACTATTTTGTATGTATTTAATCTAAAAGTTTAATTAAAAAATTAAAAGCTAATAAAAATTTTTTAAAATATTTATTTAATAATGTACATGCTTGAATATATCTAGGAGAAGAGGTATCTTAATTACATCTAAACAAATTCATTTTAAACAAATTCAATTAAATCCTATAAACGTCGATACTAGATAGACGTGTGTAAAAAATATATTAAAAATTAGATACAATACAATAGGCGTTTTAATATTTAATTTATTGTAATGCACAATAATTTTTATTAATTTATCTGTTTCATATTGAAGAAGACCCAAAAGGTTGAAATAATTTATTTCTTCGAAATCTTTATTTTTTTACATATTGCTTAAACAATATAAATCTATAGATATCAAAAATTGTTACATGCTTTTTCAAAATTTTTTCATAATTTCATTCTATTAAATTTCCATTTAAATAGTATGTGTGTGACAGCTTTGTCCTCTTACTTATAAATTACAAATATAGAAAATGCAATAATATTTCGATTATTTGTTATCATATAATTATTTGATTAAAAGAATAAGATAGTTAAATATTATATAATTATTCGATTAAAAGTATAAAATAGTTGAATATTTTCTAAGACTCAGAAGAAAAGGAAATATACGTACTCCTCCAAGCAGTTCGCCGCGGTGATAACATATTTCTTGTGAATGATAGCTCCACTGCAAATATGCTCCTCAGTACTTAAAAGTTTCAGTGAAACATGATAAGGGGAGATCTCGCTATCCAAAGCATCGTCATAGTTGTCGCTTAGGATTTGTGAATCTGACAAACCTATCAATTGAAGATTTTGAATTTCTAATAAAGGGTCTTATTAAAAATACCAGTATTAAACTATGCTACGAATCTTTATATATATATATATATATTTATGTTTTCTTTATTTAAATATTTATTTGTTATATAATAATATAGATTTAAAATACGATAAGCAATGAATTGCGAGTATAAATACATTAAACAAATTTTTACAGTAACTCACGATTGTCAAACACATCGTTCTTAAAACATTAAATGTCGAATAAATCGTTATGTCATTTTTAAGATATGGATAATCGTTAAACTAATTTGTCAAATAACTGTGATACTTTTGTTTATTTAAAACTGAGATAAAATGCAATTATTAATGTTTATTTTAATAACATCCAAACGTTATGTATATTTATCAATATCAATCTGAACTATTATTGTGATATACATTTGAATTTTTCGTGATGTGTTAAAACTCGTAATATGTGAAAATTTACATCTTATATAATTTTTCAATAAAATTTTCACAAATATACTTACCATAGGTAAATAAAATTAACATTAAAAAAAGCTTTAAAGATTAAATCAATAAAGGAGTA